TGGAAACTGTTATTGAATATGTGAATGATGTTGTAATGAAATGCTCCTTCTAATCATAGTTATTAAATAAAATAATTTTTAAAATATATATAATAATTCCTAACACACAAAAAAAGGATTGTCTCTCTTTGGAATATAAAAAAGAAAAAAGTAATAACAATGTTTTATGAGACTAATATATGGTTTACTAATTAGATAATAATATTTGGAGGTTTCTGTTGGTATGTGTGTGTGCGCAAATCCATGTGCACATGTGTATGTGTGTATTTTTTTCGTGTGTATGTGCAGGTGACCAGATGCCACAAGGCGTATGTGGAGCTCAAGGGACAACCTAGTATACTAGTGCTTACCTTCCACCTTGTCTAAGACTAGGTCTCTCTTCTGTTGTTCTCCACTGTGTATACCAGGCTACATGCTAGTCGGACGACAAGGTGAACAGAATCCTACTGTCTCCACCTTCCATTTCATAGTAAGAGCACTGGGATTACAGATGCACAGTGCACTTGCTTTACATGAGTTCTGGGGATTTGAACATAAGCTCTATATTCACTGAGTCATCTTCCTAGTACTAAATTTCATTTTATATCTATCTCATATTTTTTTAACTTTATTATTATTTTATGTGTATGCGTATATTGCCTGCATATAGGCAAATGCACCCGTGTTGTACAATGCCCACAGAGGCCAAAAGAGGCTGTTGGATCCCTTGGTACTGGAGTTATGGACAGTTGTTAGCTGCCATGTGGGTGCTGGGATTCGAACCCAGGTCTTCTGCAAGAACAACCAGTGTTCTTAACCACTGAGCCATCTCTCCAGCCCCTCTAGCTAATATTTTTAAGACTTATTAATTTTTATTTAATATGTATGAGTGGTATGCCTGCCTGTAAGTGCACCACATGCATGTAGAGCCCGTGGATGCCAGATGAAGGAACCCAATCCTCTGGAATTGGAGTTACAGAAAGCTATCAGTTACTATATGGGTGCTGGGAACTGTACCCAGATCCTTTCCAAGAGCAGCAAGTGCCCTTGACCACTGATCCATCTCTCTACCCCTTATGATATTTTTTTAAGACTCAGACTTGAGCACAGAGAGATTTTGACTATTAATCTAAATTGATAGAATAATTGTTCATATTTATGTAGCATAGTAAAATTCCACAACTCCATACATGCATACAATGTGTAACGATCAAATCAAGTGATTAGCATTTCCACCTTCAAAAATATTTCTCTGAGATTTTGGCTATATAAACTGCAAAGACGCAAATAGGATTATTTATAAACAGCTTTCGCAAAGAGCTGCTGTTTGTGTTAGTGAAGAGATCAAAAAACTCCAAGACAGGAAGCAGCAGCCAAAAGAATTAAGATTATAAACTAATATAATCATCAACTGTCAATACCAACCAATAAAAGAACAGATAAACAGGGACTGGAGAGATGGCTCAGCAGTTAAGAGCACTGACTGCTCTTGCAAAGGACCCGGGTTTGGTTCCCAGCACCCACGTGGCAGCTACAAACCGTCCTTAATTCCAGTTCTGGGGGAATCCAAAGCCCTCTTCACGGCATTGCACAACATGGGTGCACTCACATACATGCAGGCAATATACTCATGCACATAAAATCAAAATAATAAATAAAATATTTTTAAAAAGAACAGATAATGCCACGTTAATAAGCAATGAAAAGGTAATTAAATGCAACAAACAAATTGAGTAGTTGAGCATGATGGCACACACCTTTAATCCCAGGCAGAGGCAGGCAGCTATCTGTGAGTTCGAAGCCAGCTTAGTCTACATAGTGAGTTCCAGGCCAGTGCATACTAGGCCAGCCAAGGGTTACATAGTAAGACTCTGTCTCAAAAAAACTTTTTTTTAAATAAAAGAGACCTTATTAAAAATAAAAAAAAAAATTTTTAAGTCATATGTATAATGTCACTTATGAGAAATGCTAGCATAGGAAAACTCAGAAAAAGAAACCAAAAACTCTAAATATTAAATCTCATTTGATATGCATTAAAATATGTAGCAGGAAGCATTTGAAGATCTGCAGCTTACTTTCAAATATATCCAAACACACAAAATTTCCATTCATTCTACTTGAAAGCTCACTACGGCAGTTACAATCAAACAGCAACAGGATAAATATTTAAATAAGGAAGAAAGGCTAGCAAAACAATGGGTTATAGGAACCATTAGAACTCATTTTTTTTTTTTTTTTTTTTTTTTTTTTTTTTGTTTTTTTGAGACAGGGCCTCCCTGTACCCCCAGCTGTCCCGGATCACTATGTAGACCAGGCTGGCCTTGAACTCACAGAGATCCGCCTGCCTCTGCCTTCCCAGTGAAACTATTAGAACTCTTAAACGATTAAGTTCCATATATATTTATGATTAACACTTAGGATTTCTCATAGAACAAAGAAAGAAAATAATTTGGAAAAAATTTAGGACAGTTTGTAAAAAAGAGGGAATGGTTGGAGCACACACTAAGCCCCTCATTTCAGAGGTCTGAGGCAAGAGGATGACAACCTCAAGAACAGGTCAACCAATGTAGAAATTCAAGGCCAGCCTATAGTATATAGTAAGACCTCATGTGTGTGTAAGTTTATACACATATACCCATACATGTACACAAGAATGCAGGTGCCTAAGGAAGCCAGAGGCATTAGATCATCTTTAGCTCAGAACAGAACTCAGATCTCTGAAAGAGCATTATACACTCTTAAACTCCAAACCATCTCTCCAGCCCTTCCTTGTTTTGTGAGGGTCTCTTACTGGCCTGAAGCTAGACTGGGTGGCCAATAAGGCTCAGGGATCCTCTTGTCCCCCCACCCCCAACCTCCTACCCAAACTCACAGGCCTGGGTTTACAAGCATGCCATCTCACCTAGCTTTTTTTTTTAATTATTAGATTTTTTTTTTTTTTTTTTGGTCATTTTGAGACAGGGTCTCCCTGTAGCCCCAGCTGGCCTGGAACTCACTATGTAGACCAGGCTGGCCTCAAAGTGACAGAGATCCACCTGCCTCGGCCTCCCAAGTGCTGAGATTAAAGGCATGCACCACCACACCCAGCTTGATTTATTATTTTTATTTTATGTGTATGAGTATATTGTTTGTATGTTTGTAAGTGTGCCTGTGTTGTGCAAAGTATGCAGAGATCAGAAGAGAGCATCAGACTTCCCCGGAACTGGAGTTAGGACAGTTGTTAGCCGCCATGTGGGTGCTAAGAATCGAACCTGAATCTACTGCAAGAGCAGCCAATGCTCTCTGAGCCATCTCTCTAGTTCCCTCACCTAGCTTTTTAACATGTGTTCTGAAGACTGAACTCAGGTTCTCATGCTTGTACAGAAAACACTTTAGCTACTGAGCCATCCCCCCTGCTTCTGTTCTATTATGACAGGGTCTCATTCTATAGCCTAGGCTGACTTGGAAATCAGTATGTAACTCAGGCTGACCTTGAATGCTTAGAAAATCCCCTTAGTATCCCAAATCCTGAGATTAAAGACTAACACTACCACGCCCAGCTTCTGAGACCCATTCCATAAATAAATGAATAAATAGATAAATGCATAAATATCATTTAAGGTACTATTAATCTCAAGAAGAATAGTACTAAAATACTCTAACAGCAAAAAAATTAGTCTACAACATACACAAGAATAAATGAGGACTATATTAACTAAATACAGAGGGATGTGAGTTACATATGAAAATAAAATGGCTACTAGGCATGGTAGCTCTCATCTGTAATCTGTAATCCCAACACATAAGAGGCCCAGGAAGGAGGATTACCTTGAGTTCAAGGCAAGCCAAGGCTAAATGGCAAGCTCTTAGCCAGCCTGGGCTGCAAAATGATACCTTTTCTCAAAAAAATAAATATAAAAAATGGTTTTAATAATAAAGAGTATTAAACACAGAAAATTTCCAAGGAGGTCTGTAAAATCAACATAATTGTAAGTAGGACAGAAACAACTGTTATGAAGAATAAGTACAATGAACCCTAAAAGTGTGTCAGAATTAAAGTCCTCAAAGCCTTCTATGATACTATTTGTCACTAGGTGTTTATATAATACTCAACACTATCAGCATTTTTCGTACTGCTCAATGTGGAAGAAAAATAGACTAGCTAGAAAAATAAATAAAATAAAAGCATATAAAAATTGTAAAGCTTCCCTCTTTGTGTAATCTAAAGATATTCAAAGGCTGACATAAAATTTAAAATTCACAAGCATATTCATTTTTAACTAAAACGCGACAGTCCCTGTCAGGTGGCAACTTTTCAATACTACCTTCCAGCAGAAAAATGTCAAAGAGATAACCCAGCATCCTACATGAAGTTATTTTTCAAAAGTTAAAAAAAAAAAATAGAATACAAAAGAAGTACATTAAAAAATTTTAAAGCAATAAAATTTTAGTCACATTTCAAACTTTATATATTATTTTGTTCTTAACAATAGGTAGGTATTTGCATTTGTATAAAGCTACAAAAGAAAAGAAAATTGTATTTCTTCATCTTTAGCATGTATAAAGGAAAGCACCTGAATAAAACCAGAAAATTAGTAAGATTTCAATATTTTATATGGGGAAAGAAAACAAAATTATCTGTTTCCACCCATTCACATAGTTTAGAAGATGAAATACAATGGTATCTATTTCTGTTTGCATCACAAACAGTAATTCCCAGGGTTAAGTTTACATAACACAAGTTACGTAGTACAAGTTATCCTAATACACACTATTATGGCCATACTGTTACTTATATCTTTATATTTTATTTAAGTTCTTTTTGTTGTTTTCTGTTTTTTTTTTGTTTTGTTTTGTGGGTTTTGTTTTTAAAACATAGCCCCAGCTCGCCTGAAACTCACTGTGTAGACCAGGGTGGCCTCGATCTCACCATGCCGGGTGCCACCACACCTGGCATTTTATGTAAGTTTTTAAATCAAGTTGCATACATGCATCTACTTCATAGAGTGACGTGGATACAACCCAGGATTTAATGAACTTACAATTCCTTGTGCTTGTCTTCAGCCAAGATTTGGTCATTTGGTTTCAAAGAATACCTGTAACATAGAAACAACAACATACTGGTCATATAAACATACAAACATATTTGCCTCAAATAGATATTCGCATTTGCATACAGTCAGCTGAGTTGTACCAAAGAAGCACTGTGGCACTGTTACAGGTCTCTGGCATCACTGAAAAAATACCAAGAACGTCTAAGCAGCTTGTTCTTCACTATTTTATGAGTCACTGCCCATCACGCCAGGGACTGAAGGCAGATCGGCCTAACCATGCTTTGAAATACAAGTATCTCCAGTAGTCCTCCTCAGTGAAGCATATGTAACATTACTCTCATCCAGCAGTCCCAAATTCAACGAACTACAGTTTGAGGATTTAGAGTTCACAAAATAACATGCACTTGTTCATTCATTAACTACATAGTAAGCATTTATAGGGTACTTAGATGTGTACTAAATAAGAGTGCTAAAAGTTTTGGAACTGTTCCCTCCCCTGCCCCACCCTAACTCTCCACCCCTGCCTCAGCCTCCTGAAGAGCTGGGATTACAGGCTTTCACCATTAGGCCTGATTGGAGGTTTTTTGGCTTCTTTTTGGGGGGGGGGGGCAGAGAGATGTGCACATGTGCATGTGAGTACACATCTATGCACACATGTGAAGTGGCCAGAAAAGGCAGTCAGGTGTACTCCTCTATCACCCCCTGCTCTATTCTTTTGACGCACGGTCTCTCCCTCAATCTAAGCATTTTCAGCTAGACTAGCAGCTAGCAAGCCCCAGCAACCCTCCTCCCTCTGTCCCCAAAAGGGCTTGGGTTACAGGAGGGCTAGAGAATACACTCAGCTTGTTACATGGGTGCTAGGACCCAAACTCAGGTCCTTGTGTTTGCACAACCAGGGCTCTTCACCACTAAGCCATTGCTCTAGGCCCTGCCTCCAGTTTTTGACTCAACTATTTACTAGCTTACTGACAAGTACTTCACCTCTTTATCTCAGCTTTCCTCACTATGAAATACAGATTGTTATAAATATCGCACCAGGTTATTTTTCACTTGTACTGTTGAAGGTAAACAGACTTTCTGAGGTGTTCACAGAAATAGATAAACAACAATGAACAATAATTTCCAGGTCTTCAACTCCTTTTATACTCAAGCCTTTCTTTAATCTGCTTAACAAGGGAACCAGGGTCAGGGTAGAAAAGTAATGTTGACTTTCCTCTCTCTTTCACAAGTACTCTTAGAAAGTTGACTTGTTTATTCTGAATGGAACTATATTGTACTGCATGGGATATAAAAACCTGAGATTTTAAGCAAGGAATGGCCCACATTATCTGCCAAAATGAATTCAAGTCACTAAAGTACTACAATTTAACTATAAATCTTTCTGTTACATTAGTGTTGTAAAGAAGGAAACTAGAAGTCAGGCATGGTGGTCCACACCTTTAATCCCAGCACTCAGGAGGTAGAGGCAGGCAGATCTCTGCAAGTTAGAAGCTAGCCTGTTCTATACATAGTGAGTTCCAGGCCAGTCAGTACTACATAATGAGATGCTGTCTCAAAGAGAGAGAGAGAGAGAGAGAGAGAGAGAGAGAGAGAGAGAGAAATTAGAAATGAAGAATTGTGATCATAATGTTGTTTTCAGATACATCCTAGAGAGGAAAAAAAGTTGACCATAATTTTCGTCTGAACAGTTTATTCCATGCCAATTTTAATAAAGAATGTACATCTGGGGCTGGAGAGACTGCTCAGTAGTTAATGGCTGCTCTTGCAGAGGACCTGGGTTCAATGCCCAGCATCCACATAGTGGTTAGCAACCATCTGTAACTCTAGTTCCAGGAGACCCAACGCCTTCTTCTGGCATTTCTCAGGCACTGCACACACAGTGTACTTACATACATGTGAGCAAAACACTCATACACCTAAAGTTAAAATAAATCAACAAAAAAATTTTTTAAAGAATGTATCACTATTTAATCCGAGCACTTGGGAGGCAGAGGCAGGCAGATCTTTGTGAGTTCAAGGCTGGCCTGGTCTACATAGTGAGTTCCAGCCCAACTGTAGTTACAGGGAGACCCTGTCTCAAAAAGACCAAAGGTGTGTGTGTGGGGGGGGTACTTTTCAGGAAAAAAAAAAATCCTATGAACCTCAGAAAGTTAAAAAAAAAAATTTCTTATTAGAGCAGGACTCCTAGCTACATATCTATCTACAAAGGACTAGAGATAAGAAGCCAGGGTATATGGGTTCTGAACTACTTTTCCTGTTGTTGTGATAAATACCCCTAACAAATGCAACATAAGAGGACAGTGTTTGTTGAGGCTCACAAATTGAGGGTGTAGATCATCAAGACAGAAAAGTCCTGGAGGCAAGAGCTTGAGGCTGCTGGTCTCACTGCATCCACAGTCAGGAAGTAGGAACAATGATTTGGAGCACTCCAGTCACTTTCTCCTTTTCATTCAGTCTAGGACTCCATCCTCTGGAATGGTACCACCAACAGTTAAGGTGGATCTTCCTACCCCAACTAACTGAATCTGCACAATCCCTCACAGATGTGACTAGAGGAATCTAGATTCTATCAAGTGATAATCACAGAAATGTGACAGAGCACTTGCCTAGAATGTGAGGCCCTGGATGAGAGAGAGAGAGAGAGAGAGAGAGAGAGAGAGAGAGAGAGACAGACAGACAGACAGACAGACAGACAGAGACAGAGAGACAGGCGCTATGAGGTACTCAAGAAGCTGAAGCAGAAGGTTCTCTTGAAATTGAGAGTTAAAAACAACCTGGACAGCTGGGCACGGTGGCATACGCCTTTAGTCCCAGCACTCAGGAGGCAGAGGCAGGTGGATCTCTGTGAGTTCAAGGCCAGCCTGGTCTATATAGTGAATTCCAGCCCAGCTGGGACTACAGGGAGACCCTGTCTCAAAAAAAAAAAAAAAAAAAAAACCTGGACAATATGATGAGACTTTCAATTCAGAGGAAAAAAGAAGAAAAAGAAAGTAGGGACAAGAGGAGGAGAGAGAAAAAGTCATTACAGGACCACAAATTAGCTCATTTATTTGAATTGAAAAATAAAATCATGGGCTAGAAAGAAGGCTCAGCATTTAAGAGTGCTTGCTGCTCTTTCATGATGACCAGAATTCAGATCTTAGCACTCATATCAGGTGACTCACAAATACCTATAACTCTATCACCAAGCAATCCAATACCCTGTGCTGGCTCCATGGGCTCCCACACATACACATGTACATACAAACACATTAATAACAGATATAAATAAATATTTTAAATTAAAAAAAAATTTGCCAGGCATGGTGGCACACACCTTTAATCCCAGCACTCAGGAGGCAGAGGCAGGTGGATCTCTGTGAGTTCAAGGCCAACCTGGTCTACACAGTAAGTTCCAGGACAGCTGGGGCTACAAGGAGACCCTGCCTCAAAAAGACCAAGAAAAAAAAAAAAATTAAGTCACGCTTTTTCTATCATAAAAGCAAATCTGATTGAGTTAACAAGGAAAACCAGCTTTGGCAGAAATGGTAGAGAACAGATAATGACCTTAAACAGTTTTTGTTTGTTTTCAATTTTTTTTATTTTACATAAAATAAAATGGGTGCATTGCCTGCATGTCTGTAAGTGTACCCATTGTCATGAAATGCCTGTAGTGCCCAGAAGAGGGTGTCGGATCCCTGGAACTGGAGTTACAGACAGTTGTCAGCTGCCATGTGGGTGCTGGGAATCAAACCTGGATTCTCTACAAGGGCAGCCAGTGCTCTTAACCTCTGAGCCACCTCTCCAATCCCAAATTGAACAATTTTTAATGAATGTTTATGCATAACTATTCATAAACAATTTATCCAAAAAAAAAAAAATCCTTTGACATAGGTATACTAAAAGTAACAGTATCAACTCTTCCCAACACTTCCTGAAATGTTCAGGCAAATACTTCTCTAAGTAAAAGACTAATAAAAAATATAATTAGTTATTGAAGAAGCCCTCTTCCTACTAGAGTAATTTCCTCATTGTTATGACAAAATATCTGACCAAAGCATCTTAAGAAAGAGTTCATTTTAGCTCACGGTTAGAGGGACAGTCCAACACAGTGAGGAAGGCATGGGAGGAATGTGAGTCTGCTGGTCATGCTGTATGCACAGAGAGTAATCAATTAGCATTCTCTGTCCCCCGTCCCCCCCGGGGGTGGAGGGATGGGGGGTGTTGAGACAGGGTCTTCTTGTAGCCCCAGCTGGCCTGGAACTCATTATGCAGATCAGGCTGGCCTCAACTCAAGAGCAATCCACCTGCCTGCCTCTGCCGCCAGTGCTATGATGCCCAGTCTGGTCGTACCTTTCTCCAGTTAAAAAACCCCCAGACCATGTAATTTGGCCACCTACATTTGGGGTAGGTCATCCTACCTCAATTAACCTAATCTAGATAATCCCTCACACTCATACCCAGAAATTTGTCTCCAAGGTGATTTTAAATCTGGTCAAGTTGATAAACAATATAAGCCATCATACCTAATAAGCATGAAGTCCTAGGTTTGATGCCAAGCACTACCGGCCAGGGGAAGTGGAAGGAAAGACATCTTAATGACTCTTTGGGTCTGCATGCCAGAATTAAATGTCTCTAATCACTAATAACTAGCTAGGCTGGTGGGTTCTAATTTTTGCTTTCAATAAAAGTAAAGAACCTAATCAAATAATCAGATGACAGGTAATTTTTTCTGGCAAAGTTCAAATAACACTGCTGAAAATTCTATTACAATTCAGTAAGTAATGAGAACATCTCTTCTGGTACACTTTTCTTCTAAAAGAAAAAAAAAAAAGATGTGTTTGTGTACACCTATAATCACAATTCACTAAGACCTTAAGACCTTGTCTCAAAACTTAAAGAAATGATCCTAGGTTCAACCATCCCCCCACCCCAACACACACACACAGAGCAATCCTCAACACTACTTCATTGCAGCAATATTATTTATCCACAAAAGATTAAACTAATTGAAAAAGGGTTTAAAGGGCTAGAGAGATGGCTCAGTGGTTAAGAGCAATGGC